GGATTTCCCCCCCTTGCTGTTTGCTTACCTTTGCAGGCATGCTCGGCAGCAGGCTCCACCCACCCACCTACCCACCCACACATCATCATGTCCATTTTTGATGTTCTGCGTATGCGCATGCTCACATTGCTACCGAACCCAGTTGGGTAGATATGCGCATGCTCACATTGCTACCGAACCCAGTGATATAGAATCAGGAAATGGCTATGTGACAACATTACTAAGAGAATGTGATCCTATTTAGGAATGAAAGCAAGGTTACGATCAGAGAAACATTTTGTGTGATGGCATAAGTGTGTTGAAAAGGGGAATAGATTTATTTAGCCTGTTGGAAATATGCATGAAAAATCATTTTGAGTCATTGTGCCATGACCTACTTCATATACTGTAATTGTTTCCTTCCCAAAACTGCACAGATGTTCAGTGGGGAGGTTTTGTCCCAAGCTGACAGCATAATTTTGCTGATAACAACATTGGAAGAATGTTGGACTTTGTTACTGACGCATAGGATAGAATGTCAACAAGTGAATTTGGTGCTCAGGAGATTATAGTTGAAAGCAAAACAATCCCTCCATTTTGCAAAAAGGAGAGACCTTGTCTAATATCCTTTGGACATACAGATGAAGATTGATTTTCTTGTGTCCTTTCATCTTGTCCCGTTATTTCATTATTAAAGCTCAGAAAAGAAAGCTTAGAAGATATCTGAGCTCTGCAAATCCTTGCATGAAACATTTTGTTGTAAATTTATCCAAGTCATCTAAAAAAAAAGAATTTATTTTTCTTTCCTACACTAAAATGGGAATATTCTTCTCAGGAGTGAAATCCACTTACCTTTGCTACCTGTTTGGTTGCAATGTGAGCCCGCGCATGCACAGAGCATCAAAAATGGACATGATGACATCTGGGTGGGTGGGCAGAGCCTGCTACCAAGCATGCCTGCAAAGGTAAGCAAACAGCGAGGGGGGGGGATCTGCTGTGCCATGTGATTTAGATTAGCTAGAATATAATATATTCTAATATAAATTGCCTGTCACAGCTGATCATTGGAAAAACTGGTCTGGCTGAACCAGTAGCATTTTTTCACTACTGGTTCGGGCGAACCGGTAGCATTTTTACTATTGGTTCAGGCGAACCGGTCTGAACTGGTAGCATTTCATGCCTGATTCTTCTTCTGAGTCAGATGGCTTGATATAATATGCATTTTCATTTTGTTTTTCAAAGATTAAAACTGAAAGTGCAGTGCTAACATTCCCTTCTCCAATTTTTCCATACCACAACCACCTGTAAGGTAACTTGAACTGTGAAATAATGACCCTGAAAATCATCTAGCAAAGTTCCATGGTGAGGATGACCCTGGTTAAAAGTCTCCATGGTTTCATGGTCTAACTGCTACACTTTCACTTGAAAGTGAAATGCATTACTTCACAAGAGAGTATTTCATTTACTGGAAATGTAAGGGAACATTATTTTTTTGAGTCTGTGGTTAAAGTAAACACAGACTGCAGTTTTCTTGTTACTCAAGATTTTGGATTCCAGTCAGTATTTATGTGCCTGCAAGCTATAATACATGGCTTGAATTCAAGCTTGAGTTAGTGTGCTGGTAAACCTGGAAAGCATGTTAATTCTGCTACATTTATGTTTTATCTGCATGAAGCCTGTTTATGTTCTGCCCTCTTCTTGCCCCAACGTAACTCCCCAGCATGATGTCAATATTCTGCACCATCATTAAAATCATAAATCACTATGTGCCCTCTAACAGTTCAAGTCATTTTACAATAGAAAGTTGGTAAAGACACACACACACACACACACTGAATCAGGGTTGACATTTTGAGAAATTCATTGTAAAAATATCTGTTTCAAAAAGAGGTACTATTGATTTTTGTAATCTTTTCTATGCTACCTTAGCATAGCTAAACTTGAGAAGGGAAACTTCTAATTCTAGCTCTAATTAGAAGAACTACATAGATATTTAATAGTATTTTAGATCTCTATATTCTGAAATAAGCTGGAAAAGGTGCCATAGATAGATCCATATCTGTGTCATGTTACAAAGAACCATTGGCAACATTAAATCAATAGTTTGCACAGCTGTGGCTGCTCTGTTGATTCCTTCTGTTCCTAACTGCGTAAATGTTGCCAACTTTCTTGCACTAAAGATTAGTTCAGTTTATGTGTGTTTTATATTTAAAACTTTCATCTCTGTTTCCACTGGGGCATTGTTGTGGGAATAAATTTTTTACTGTACTCAAAATTAAGAATTTGAGATGCACCCTAAGCAGTTCCTCTTAAGAAGAAGAGGACTTTCAGGAAAAGGTTACAATTGTCTCCCTCTACTTTATATTTATGAACATTTATGCATATTTAGACATTTTATGGTAAAATATCCTAATTGTGTATCAGAAATATGGCATATAGGAGAGTTGATACTCCAGGCCCCGATTCTTTTTAGTTTTGCTTAGATTTAAGTTCATGATGCATTTAGTAAGAATGGTCTTCCATATTTTTAATACTGTTGGATCTTTTGGGAATATTGATTTGTAACAAATATGAGGATGATTCCAAAACTGAACATTTTATTTTATTACTGTATTTGAGTATGTAATTAAAAGAATCATTCCCCTTCTAAACTGAGCCCCATACTTCATTTACCTGTTTATGCTGCTTTGGCATTCCATTCTCATTCTCATAATATGTGGTTGTTACTATAGGTTTGTCTATGAATACCAATGATATTGCCCTTCATCACCTTCAAAATGAATATCTGACGAAGGTATGGTGAACTATTCCACACATGGACAAGGATTGGATAATAAACCACAGTACTGGTTTTATTACTTTATATACTTACATTGGTCATATAGATATATTTTACTGATTGTGTGAACTTGCTGCAGTTGATTTAATATTGGATAAATGAATATGGAAAACGTACTGACCAGTAGCATAGGAATATATAAACTTTATGTAAATATGTGGGATTATTCTCACTGAACATTAGTTATGAAAAAAATGAGGTTTAATGATTCTTAGCCTACCTAAATTTTTAAAACTAATGTCTGCTACATTCATTCAATGCAATAGTACACGTGCAAAAAAGAAATATTTGCTTTCTTTTGAAATAATAGAGAATATAAGAGTTGCCTAATGTCGGCTTCCTCTAACAGGGATTTCCCAATAAATATCTCGGTTTAATTATTAGATATTTGAGAACTCTGTGTTCATGTCCTCTGTCAGCTGATACGTTTCTGTGATTTCAAAATTTAACATTTTTATATTTACTGAGTTTTAAAATATTTCTTCTCTTTTGCCTTACATTTATGAGTTTTAATTTTTGTAGCTGTCACTCATTGACAAGGGATTTCATTTTAAGCCTTTACTTTGTCTATTTTTGTGCTGCTCCTTTTGCTGCTGAACATAAACAAAAATGGATTAGTTATGTTGGAAGCTCATAACTGGATTCAATTCTTATTTTTCTTGGATGACGTGTCAAAATATTAAGTTAATTGTATTAAACTAAGATTCAGAGCATAAAATCAGAAAATAATGCACTGAAGTTTTCACCAAGAGAAAGAAAATTTGTAAATGTGAAGCTTACGCTCTATTTTAATTGAGCTCCCAAAATCTTATATATCTCTTTCTCACACAAATCTGAAAAATCTTTTAACTTTTTAATTAAACCTATTTTCATAAAAAAAACCTCCAAATTCTTGTAATAACGGTAAAAGTAAAGGTCCCCCTCGCACATATGTGCTAGTTATTCCCGAGGCTAGGGGGCAGTGCTCATCTCCATTTCAAAGCCGAAGGCATCTCTGTGGTCCTGTAGCCAGCAAAACTAAATGCCGTAGGTGCACAAAACACAGATGCCCTCTCCCCAAACGTGGTCCCTATTTTCATACTTGCATTTTTTTTACATGCTTTCAAACTGCTAGGTTGGCAGAAACTGCGACAAGTAACAGGAGCTCACTCCATTACGTGGCACTAGGGATTCAAACTGCCGAACTGCCAACCTTTCGATCGACAAGCTCAGCGTCTTAGCCACTGAGCGACTGTGATACAATAATACAATTGTGATACAATAATACAATTAAAAAAGCATATCGAATATATCACTTTTATTCTGTTCCCATAACCCAGTTAATGATCATCTCAGTCAGATGCTGTCACTGGAAATTCTGATTACACAAAATAAACTCAAAATGTAAGCGTGCGAATGGAATAACCATTTGGGAAATGCAGAATTCTTTTTTTCAAAACAGTTTTTATTAAACATTTTTACCTTTAAAAACAGAAAGAAAAACACAACAAAAAATAAAGAAATAAAAAACAAGACAAACATAACAATATAAAGTAGTTATACAACCTTCTGTATCAGCATTCATGTTTAGCCTTTGTAATTCTCCATTTTCCATTGCCTTCCTATCAATTTTAACTTCTCTAATAATGTAATAACAGTAGTACTAACACTTGTAATAATATTATTTGTTAATATCACGATTATATTTACACTGTAGTCAATACTTTAAGTTTGATAGTAATTAGTAACTTTGGTTAATTTTTATTCAATACTAGTTTAGGAAAAAAAACCCAAAGACTTCTATTTCCTGTTTTGGCTTCTGTTTTCTAGCCACTTATACATTCTATTCTATATTTTATAGACATCCAATTCTTCTCTTTGTTTTAATTCCATGATCATTTTGTCCATCTCTGCACAATTGAGTACCCGTTTAATTATTGTTTCATCTACAGGTATATTGATTCATTTCCAGTTTTGTGCGAAAGCAATCCTAGCTGCAGTGGGGATGTGCAGTATTATGTATTGAAATTGTTTGTCTGTTTTCGGGTCTAATATTCCTAATAAGAATGATTCCAGTTTCAATTCTATTTTTTGCTCCATAATTTCTTCCAGCCATTTCTGAATTTTGCACTAATATTTCCTTGTGATGGGGCATGTCCACCACATATGGTAGAATCTTCCAGACTTGTGGCTACATCTCCAACATTTGGGGGATAAATTTGGATACATTTTGGCCAATCTCACTGGGGGAAAATGCCATCAATAAAACATTTTATAGATATTTTCTTTGTAGGCTAGTCGTAAATTTATAATTTCTTTCCCATAGGAAATACAGAATTCTGTTCACTTTCTTCAAGAAATTTCTGACATGAAGTGTTGGATTAGGAGAGCAAGATTTTATGATGTCTAACCCCTCTTCCATTGCATTGGCAGATAACAGTACTGAAGGCTTTACTTGGCCTCTGCTTCTGTTTGGGGTAAATTAAATTGAAAAACAATTCAGCTGATTACCCAGTTGGGCACTACCTTGATTAACCCAACTGATGGTCTCAAGGGAACTGGAGGTTATATACAAAGGGACCAAATATCACTGCTGAGCTTCTACTTGAAGGATTATCAATTATAAACCTTTATAAATCTTTTAAAAAGGTCGTAAAAGTTAGGAACACAAGCGATGACAGCTGAAATGGAATACCCCAATTCCTTCTATGTATCACAAGAGGGTTGTTACCAGAGAAAAAAGCCCTTGATAAATAGGAAAGCTACATTACTTTAATGTTATATTTAAAAATGGCAACACATCTGAAAAGAACCAAATGAATATACCAAATGTTCTAACCTAAGACATTATCACTGCATGAAAGATGCCATTGGGTGATTTCTAGGGCCGAGCAGTGCCTGACTCTGTTCTGGGTAGCTTTTGACGCATTATTCTTTTTATCCAAGAGATGAATTTGGACACTTTTGTGTAAACACCATATTTGCCTTTCTGTGCACACCCTTCCCCCCAGCTGATAATCCCAGTAACAAAGTGGGTATCACTGTATGCAGTGACATGGGGGCCTCCACTGTCTCCCTGGCATGCGTCTTGAGCCAGAGTATGGTAGCCAGCACAGAACATATTTTCAGTAATTGGGAAATTGCTGGAAAGCTTGCAGACATGCCTGTCCACATAAGGAAGCGTAACCACTTTAAGTGTGTTGGAGGTCCGTCCTCTTTCTTTAATGCGCCCAAATCCACTAACAATGCCTGAATCTTGTTTCATCAGGACTTGGTTGGCAAAATCAGCAGTGGGAAGGCAGGCAGGAACCACATTTTCAGAGAATCGGATAGGGGTCTTCAACTGGATGATGGCTATATCATAGTCGTAGGTGTCCATAACAAATTTTTGATGCACATATATTTTATCCACAGAGAGAAGATGTCCAGTTTTTCTACTTGATATGTCCACTTCCCCTGTGGAAGACCAAAGTAAAATGAGTAAAATTGTATGGTGCAACATAGCTATCCACATTTTTGATAATCAGATAAACATTTTCATATTAAAAAAAAAGTTATAAACTATATCTAGCCAAGAAACATATCTAATCAGAATTATATATCATGGTTACAGCTATAAGGCTACTTTTGTCTTCTTTTGTCTCTTTACAATTAATTTATGTTAAAGCAATGCTTGAATGTGTTTCTTACATAGGAAAAGCAATACAGACCATAGGATCAAAATATAAGTAACCATGGTAAATCTCCATATATTATTTTAAAAAGACAATGACAAAAAGAAAGACCTTAAAAGGGGAAAATTGTGTAGATCATTTCCATTTTTGCTGGGCAAAATTCTGACCCAAAATACATGATTTACAAAGTACAGTTGGTAGTCTCTGTAACAAACTGTGACAATGCCAAAAAACAAAGCATGTGATGATATCATCACACAATTGTCATGATAACATATTTATATTGGGACATCTGATGCAAGTATGTATGCGAAAGCATTTTGCGATCTGTATTGCTTGTCCATTACCCATCCTCTGTTCTTCTTTTTTCTGTCTACCTATGAATGCTTCTGACAACACCTTGGTTACACAATATTCTCAGCCAAAATCAAATGAAATATATTACAGCTTGTCCATTGTTTTTCAACCTTGGCAGCTTTAAGATGGGGGGAGCATGCTGGCTGGGGAATTCTAGGAGTTGAAGTCCACCCATCTTAAAAAACCCAAGTTTGAGAAACATTGGCTTAGAGTGTGTAAGAAGCTAGTGTTGTGTAACATACAGGTATGGCATACAGGCTACAGCTACAGCACCCTTAAACATAAACATATAGCTGTAGCAGAGAGTGAAGAATGTCATTAAATGCAATTGCCATTAACTTTAGGACAGCAAAGAGATTGCACTCTGATTTTGTGTGGCTTGAGACAAATTAGTAACCAAAAACATATATGTAATTTAGGTTGCAATTTTATGCATACTAATTTGGGGTTACATCAGAAGACACAGATAGTGTTGGCTTGCACTGTAAATATTTTTGAAGCTAGACAACAATTTAAATACCCACCTACAACAACTTTAATGTGCTTGGTTTGGTTTATGCAGTGGGCTGCAGTAAGTACATGTACGGTACTCAAAACTGTTCCTCCACAAAACCCCTCTCCTTGATCATTTATCAGAAGTGCCTAAAAAATAGAAGTAATAAAGTTATATGATTAAACCTGTCCAGAGATGTTATGTTGATAAGGGAGATAGCTGGCATAAGAATGCAATAAAATAAATAAATAAATAAACAAAGAAATTAAATAATCATTATTTTGGGAATATTGATTTCATAACAGATGGCCAGGAACATCTTCAAGGAGAGTCAAAAAAAGGCACTATGGAATTTAAAATCCTATGCCTTTTTATCTACCGTATGTTTTGGAGTATAAGACACACCAGAGTATAAGACGCACCAATGTTTTGAAGAGGCAAATTTTTTAAACAAAGTTTTTGCACTCTGCAGAACTCCCAAAAATGGCCCATTTTTCGCGAAAACAGGCCTGATTTTTTTTCAAAAAAAGGGCATGAATAGCCTTTAGGAGGCTTATAGAGGGCTGGGGGGCGGGCGCAAAATTGAGCAAAAAACAGCCCATTTGTTGCTCATTTCTGCCCTCCCCAGCCCCCAGGAGCACTCTTCAAGGATCTTAAAGGCTATGCACAGCCATTTTGGTGTAGAGGGCGGGGTTTTGGGAGGCAAAAACTGCTGTATTCAGTGTATAAGATGCACCCAGATTTTCAGCCTCTTTTTTGAGGGAAAAAGGTTTGTCTTATACTCTGAAAAATACAGTATGTCCAAGGTGAATAGGTGGAGATTTCATTGTGCAATCACAAATCACAGCCAGTATCTTCTCCCTCCCTCCCTCCCTCTCTCTCTCTCTCTCCCCCTCCCTCCCTCCCTCCCCCTTACACACACACACACACACACACACACACACACGTTATGAAAATTAATTGGAGACTAAAAGTAATGCATGTTTCACTGTTTCAACAAATTTGGGGTATAAATCAATTAGTATTCGGACATACAAATTGAACCCATTTACCTGCCATGGACATTCACCCGGTTTGCAGTCTGTTCCATTAACAACTCTGACATCACGGTCTGAATTATCAGATTTGTGCGGTATAGTTGCATTCTGGGGCTTCATAATAGGAACTAAGCTAGAGAAATTTGTAGGAGTTTCAACAAAATTATCTTGGTCAATCACATCGTAGGCATCAGAGAAATCTTCTTGAAAGTCAGGCAGACTTGCTTCCCTCTTGTTCCTTACTTTTATATTTCTACCACATGAAAAGTCACCTGAAATATCATAATGAGGATTTTTAATTATGTGATGTGGTAATAATAGAACATGAGATCAAGAAACAAGAATACAAAAGAAGAAGAGGACACCTTTATATTTAAATAAGCTTATTCTGAGTGAGAGAACGATTAAGAAATTAGATAACTGCCATTTCTATTATTTTAATAAGTACGTATTGGAATGCTGATTAATTAGCCCACTTCTAACAATTCTGTCTCTACATAAGAAAATAATTCATATCAATGAATAAAGTTACATTTAGCTAGCCTTCGTTGCCAATGGACGGAGATACAGTAGATTGTGACAGTAAAGGTACCATGGAGTCAAGAGTTGAAAAGCTATCAGAATGCATTTAAAAAGGTAGATAGAGATCTGGCCCTTTTGTTACCATATAAAATGTTGCCTTTCTCCTTTATAATAAAATAATATATTATATAATACAACCAAAAATTGAACTCAGTTATTTTTTTTAACATTCTGATTTTTAAATTACAACAGAATATACATAGCCCAGTAGGAATAACACATCTGTCTTTGGCTAACCAAAGAGAAGAGAGAAAACCAAAATAAAATGTTATAATTAATTGTTTTAACTACACAAATACATTCATACCTCCAGCAACACAAGACTGCCCATCATCTCCCAAAATGTAACCTTCAGCACATGAACAGTGAATTTTGTTTTGATCAAATTTGCAGAAGTGCCAACAGTTACCGTTGTCCAATCTGCAGGACTTAATTATGACTATGTAAAAAAATAAGCAGATAAAGCATTAGTAAATAAAAAAAATCTTCTTTATACAAAGATAAAATTGTGACAGCCATAGCCAATTTCCTTAGCAATCCTATGTTGCTTGCTTATAATATGATGTTACAGAAACTGGTTGCAGAAGCAGAAGTGATGCTGGTGTTGTGGCCCGACAGCTGCCAGTGGAGCTGGCGGCATACTGGGATAATGGGGAAGTTGGGGAGGAACTTGGGCCAGTTCGGGAGTCTGGGGAAGGCTCTGATGGATGCTCTGTGTTGGATGCAGAGATAGAGCCAGGGCTGTCTGACATTTCCCAGCCTCCGTAGCGGCAGCTGCCTATGGCGGCTGAGATAAGTGAGGAGGAAGAACAGCTGGGGCAGTGGTGGGATATGACCGTTACACCCCAGTATGGGCATACCGGTGCCTGCTGGGAGCACCAGGTACCATTCTAGTATGGTGCTCCAGAGGGCCCATCTGCCCACCTGCTCTCTTTACCTCTATTTTAGCCGACTGAGGCATTTGCGCCCGTGCATGGGGCGTACGGTGCCTGTGCGATGCTCCGCCGAGCAACTGGAGCGTTGCAGGTGGTGGGTATGCTTGTGCACTGTGCGCGTCCACATGGTGGATGCCCGGTCCCATTGCAGCGTACCGGTTGCAACAGGAGCCGGAACACACTGCTGAGCTGGGGCCTATTCCAGATACGCATATGCGCAGAACTGTTAGGAGAGGAGAACAACTGAGGACAAGGAGTTGACTTAGGAAGCAAGGCACACATGGATGCTGAATGACCCCCTCCATGGCTGGGGAATAAATAGAAGGAAAGGGATTGGTGGTTGTGGGAGACAACAGTTCAGATTTTGGAAGATTTGGATCATCGTGCTTTGTGTCTCAGAGACTACGGTACTTGCCAGTACTTAATTTGCAATATTGCAGCTGGGAGCTCATGGTCTGGCAATTATGTCAAAGAACTGATAAGGTCTGTTACTGCAGTTAACTCTTTGAAGGACTATTGCCTGGACTTTTCGGTGTGTGAATGTCATTAATTCACAGGAGATAAATAAAGAGGGGTTTTTCAGGACAAGGAGTCTGATTCTTGTTTCTGCTAAGGCTGGGTCAGAACACACATACAATATATATTTAGAAACACCAAGACCTCTGATGAAAAGATGCAGTGAATTTATGCAGGGCTTCCTGGACGTA